AGCAATTGAGATATATATTCATTACATTCGAAATTATCAACCGAGTGATGAAGAAGCAACCAGTAAGACAAAAACAATGACTTTGAGCAAGGAGGGAGAGGAGCAACCACCTCTGAGGGGCCTGAGTCAGCTCAATCTGCAGAGCTCACCAAACTGGTTTAGTGCAGTGAGGTCCAACCAGAAGATGTGGCTCCCCACTCCTTCCCTCCAGGGCTCTGTCTCCAGGAGCAGTCAAATGGTTCTAACAGGGTTGGCTCTCCCTCTGCCTCCCACTTCCAACTGCACAGCCCTCCTTGCACTGCCTTGCACTGCCTCTGGCATCCACTGGTTCCTTCAGTGAGCAGATTCAACATACCTGGCAGGGGAAAACCATGCTATAGCAAGTTGGATTGGTCCATGGAGGTATCTGAGGAGTGCCATAATGGATGCAAAATAAGCACCAGGAGCGTGCAGGTGGGAATGGGAGAGGAGGCAGTGAAACACATCCCCAGCAGAAACCTGCTGGATCACTCCATCATATATGAGTAAATGGAAACCTCGGGGTTTTATTTCAGAGCCAACAGAACCAATCTCACCTGTCCCCTGAACTTTCCTCTAGTCTGATCCTTTGTGCCAAAATGAGTGCTTGGCTAGCAAACATACATCCGAAGGAAAGGAAAAAAGAGGTTATTAAAATCTGAACCAATGTCCTGACCTGGTTCATAGCCTGGCTTGTGAGTGTTTGTCATGACCCAAGAGAGAGGAGAGGCAGTGAGGCACTGTGGGAGGCAGGATTTCCTCTTTGGTAGCAGCAGCGACCTACACCAGCTTGAACTCTATGTGAAACTATTGCCTCTGGCTAAGGTTCCCCTGTGGCCAGAGCTGATCTTAGCTGCCAGATCCTGCTGCCAGACCTTCCATCTGCAACCAGCCGTGCACTACTCTCCTGCTCCCAGACACACAGCTACAGGGCAAGTTGATTCAGCTGTCTGATGTAGTAGAAACCTTTCTTCCTTTTTCCCCTCACCATGCAGAATAATCTGAAGGCTGATCTGTCAGAAGATTCATCCTGTCACCATATGATTTCCAGAACCAGCCCAAAGGAATGAGGATGTTAGCAGAAAGGGAGAGGACAGGCTGGGCATCCTGGCAATAGCTCACCACCAGACTGCTTTGCTACAAAGACCACAACCCACTCCCTTCTGCATCCTAGTTTTTGGAGATCCCACTCTAGTTTTTCACACCAATGCCTCCTCTGTTACATCACCACAACTGTTGCAGGTCTGCCTTGCAAACCAGATCAGTTCACCGAGAGAAAAGATTGTTTTTAACCCCAACCGCTCCACTGGGCTGCCACAAGTCAGAAGGAGCCTGTGGGAAAAGTCTGTGGTCAGGGACAGAAACCCCTTTATTCTCACTGAAGACAAATGAGGAATTACAGTCTAAAACACTTGCAATATGTTTCAGACCACTGGAAAAGTTTATACATGAATGAAGAAAGTCTGCCCTCTGAGAGAGATGATGATTACTTGAAAGAGTCAGTGAAGTAAGACCTCAAGAGTATGTTTTGATAAAATGAAACAACAGACCAACTAATTTAGTCTTCTCCCTCTTATGCTGCTTAGTATCAACAACAGGAGAGAAGTACAGGATTTTGATACAAGACTACTGTAGGGCTATAGTATTTATCTTAACATGAGCTCCTGAAAAAAGGTAAGCAGATAATGATCAGTAGATTCATCAGATCTGCTGCAGTAACCCTGGCTGATGCCCAGAGGTTAGAAACTAGTGCTCAGTATGAGATCTTGAAAAGTTGCATGATGTAATGTTACTCTGTGAGCGGTAAACACACAGGTCAAGGTCAGTTCTAACAGACCACGCAGGTGTAGTTAGCTCAGTAATCAAGATAGCATGTCCTAATTTTAACTTAACATCTTGTTGATTACTTTGCTGTAACAGTCGAGTTGACACCAAAATAATTAATGTCTTCTGCACAAATTCTTTCCTGAAGGAATGCTTATTTTGGTGTAAAAAATCTGAACAAGGCTCAGTTTTCCTATTTCAGTCAAAAATTAAAAATCAATGAATTATAAGAGACATCCCACCATTCATGCTAATAAATACATTATCCATTTATTCAGACAGACATGAAGATAAATGCATTCATTAAATAAAATATTATGCTGAAAGAATGTATACATTGTATGCAAAAGAACTCTGAAGAGCTCAGGAGACCTTAAGTAACAGAGTGCAAGTACAACAGTAACTTAATGCCCTACAGGTACACAACTACAACAAGATGGTGTCTTCCTTAATAATAACATGACCAGAATTTGCCTGATTGCCCACAACATCCTGAAAGGGTCTTTTTTTGTTTGTTTGTTTGTTTTGTTATGTTATGTTTAACAGTATCTTGAGTTTTAATTTCTTCTTTGCTCTTCCACAGCACTCTGCAAATCCAAGATTTGGCTAATCTGTACCTTCCAGGCATTATTGTACTTCCTCACACAGTTTCTACAAAAAAAGAATACTTCTCTTGAAACAAGATGATTGAGGTGATGTGATTTTTGAAGTGGACTATGAAGATGGGCATAAAGAAGGCCAAAGACTACACAGGAGGTGAGAAAGAAACCAGCAAAACACTCATATATTTATGTATTCTAGCACCATAGCAAAAGAGTACTCTGATTTCAAAGCAGTTAGAACAAGGAAACAATAAACAGTCAAGGAAAGAGCAAGGCTCCAGAGTGACACACAGTTTATCACCTCGGTGACAGGAAGATTGTATGGGTTTATTTAACATGCTTTTTAAACAAACAAACAAAGAAAGAAGAAAAAACCACCACCAAACACACCACAGAGAGGCATAATTGCTGAAAATATAAAATACTTTCGTATTCTAAGCACTGCATCTCCCTAATCTATCCATAATAGAGAAACTAACATCATTTATCTAAATCTTAATTCTAAACCTATTACTCAGTTTGCGCAAACGAAAAACAGACACTAAGTAGAAATCAGCTGAGTTACATATATATATATACACATACAGTTACTCCTAATAACTCAGATTGCTAAATAGAAGTTTTAATCCTTATATGAGAAAGCATAATTTCACTAGCTAGGTCAAAATCAGAATCATAAATAATACAATGACTCATCCTGCAAAGCCATTCCAACTTTCAGTTAACTTATAAGAAATTGATCACATCATGACAATAGATGAAGTACAAAGAAAGCTGGATTTCTTGTCTCCCAACAGTGGACTATAAATTGACATGGCCTGTTGCATTAGAAAATAAAGGAACAGTGATCTGAAAAAGCACAGTTTAATATATATTTTCTCATGTATAACAGTGATGTGTTTTGTCAAAACTATCAGAACTATAATTACTTACTCTCAAATCCTTTAAGAATAGTATCATAAAATCAAAACCAGGAAAAATGTAAGGTATACTAATTTGGAGGTCAGCTATGCCTGTTCCTGATCAGAAGTACTATTAAGGAAGAAAGTAAAGCAGTTGGCATAAAGTAACCTCCTGAAATTGTAGGCCTTTGTTGAGAAGAGATAGTGAAACCTTATGTGGCACATAAGGACATGTGGGTAAAGAGTTATGTTTTTGCTTTTATGGCTCAAGGTTTGAAAGGTACGTAAAAACATTTTAAACTTACAGGCACACATATCCCCTCTTTTGTTTGTGATGATTAGACGTCACATCTCATTCAGCATAGAAGTTCCATTTACTACAGCTTCTGCTCACCTCCCCTCCTCCCTGACCACATTTAATGCAACACACACAAAAAGTAAGGACATGCTATATGTAAAACACAGTGAAGTATCATCAGAGTATGGCTTCATGGAATCCATTTGGGGAAGTACTTCCTGAGCTTAGGCTCCTGAAAACCTACTCTGCATGTCCCCCTTCTATTTACACCAAGAATTTGTCTACTCAAACACCTCCACTGAGGAAAATCACAGCAGTTCCCACAAGGAAAAGATGGTCTCTGAAGTATGCCTGAGAATACCACATCAGGGCAGAACATTGTACAGGAATGCTATGACTCACTGAGTATCCTTTGGAGGGGAATTGGAGTAGCCACACCTTAATTCCATCAGTATGTAGGAATTACCTGTAGACAGTGTTGTCCACAAGCGCTAAAGAGGCACAGTGCTTCTCTTCCTGAGAAGAGCATCACAGAACCAAATCTGTGCTGCAGAAGGCCATCTTAACCCTGTCCATATAGTTATTACAGTACATTTATCTGTCTTTCAGGCAACAGATCACTGTCCACACTGCACTACTTTTCCTCTGCCTGGATTTACTTCTTTATTTAATGAAATACAGAAATGCCATAAAAAGACTGTATGGGACCTGTTCCAAAGTTCTGCATGAAAAAAAAATCTCTGCTTGAAAAGTCTGTAGTCCTTAGCAAGCTAATAATGTTGAATCATAAAACAGACGGTCTTAAAGAGCTATAGAATTGGCAAACTTCAGCTCCAACTCATGTGATTATGGCATTAAAGATCCAACCCATGCGATTATGGAACAAAAGCAATCACAAGGCTTGGAACTCCTCAGCTTCTCACAAACTCAAGTTTTCCATTTGCAAGGTCATATTATATAGATGTACCAAGATGAGTTAGGGTGAACAGTTCACTGCGAGCTACCTGCCAACTTGGAGCACTGAAGACAAGGTTTGGTAGGGATTTTTGGCAGTGTGCCTCCCTGTGCTCCCTGAGGCTGCTTCTCAACATTTCCACGTCCCAAAGTACTTTATTCATTACTCAGCAGTGCTTCAGAGCTCTCTGAAATAGGAAGCACACATTGGTCATTATTCTAAGTACTCAGAGCACCTAGGGGATAATGTTTCTGTATTTTAAAGCTATTTACCTAAAAGCAGAAGGCATCCTACTCTATTTTGTTTCACCTAGAAGGAAATACTTCACGTAAGGAAAACAAGGAGTGTTCAGAAGATAAACTGTATGTTTAGTAATTCTTGAACAATAGTAGTGTACTTACATGGGAAGTTATCCACAAACATAGGGTCTATGTTATGTAGCAGTTCCACTCTGGGGGAAGGTCTTCCTTCACTAGGAGAGATTTCAAGAGGAAATGTTAATTTTCTTCTACAGCTCTTTAGGATTCTGCATGTTTTATTTAAAGGCTTTTTATAATCCTAATAGAGAATGAGCTAATAACCATAAATTAACTGCTATTAAATTTTATCTGAATTAAAGGGGTGGGAACTAAATGAATCTTTAAGGTCTCTTCCAACTGAAACTACTTTATGAATGCGCTTTTGCATCTAGCAGTAACAGCTTTTGCCCCTATGAATCTTCCCTGACTTCACTGGTGTGTTTACTGGGATTATTTATAAATTTACAGAGTGCAGAAATGGCCCTAGAAAAGCAGGGGTTTACAATAATCAACTTTAAAAATCAAATTTTGCAGCGTAAGATGGCACAGCATTTGCTAGGCTTTGCATACCTGAATGGGTACTGAAAGCGTTTTGGCTGGGTGCCTCAGAAAACTCTATGTTGGCTGCCCCTCAAAGAACCCACTTTTGATTTGTAATTGAGGTCATGAGGATTATTTAGATACTCTAAACCTTCTTGTGGTAAAAAAAGTTATTATTCCTTTTTTTCTAGCCATTGGCTACATATGGATGACGCAGAATAAGCCTCCAAATTTGATCATAAATTTTCTAAGTAAATTCCATCGTAAAGAACTGAGTAAAAGAAATACACTCCTTATAAAAGGCAACATGAGTAGGAAGACATTATTAGAAAGAACCTTGGCTATATCATGACACTACAATATTATTTGACAGTGAACCTAAACATGACTTTTTAGAAAATTCCAAATAACTTAAATAGTTTTCTTTTTGCTAAGGAGCTTCATTTAAGACTAAAAAAATCAACCGAGGACTCTAAACCACTTGACATTAAGAATAAAAAATCAGATAACATAAACCTTAGTGGAAACCTAAAAAAAATTACTGTTACTTTAATACATAAAATATGTAATTAAATAATGTTTACCTGCAATCTAAATCTTTCAGTAACAACTAATCAAAATTAATATTGTTCTACTTAATTTCTAAAACCATTTCTAGATGCTACACATTTTAAATAAGCACAAAATTAACAAGGAGGATTGGATGAAAGATGAAATGTGTTCAGATAATACAGCCTTACAATTAATACAGAGAAAGCATAATAATTAACCTACAGTGTTAGTAATTCAGTGTATAAGAACTGCCACAAAAATGTTTTTCCTAAAATATGTATGCAAGGTTAACTCCTGCTCAAATCTGCACCCAAATATCTACAGTAGTTACACTCTTAACTAAGGAATTCCTGGCCTTATTTAAGCAATTTTTATCTTAGATTTAATAGACTCTTACTGTCTCTATGTGGTCCATTTACAGCTGTGGTCAAGTGTGCCTTTTGCCATCTGTTCATACGTAACAGTAACATGAACCAGTTAGCACACGTTAAAGTAGGATGAGGATTTACAGCACGTAAATTATTCTGCAGCAACTGCTTGGGGAGTTATTTTTCAGTTTCTGAGCTGTAGCTACAATTTTCAGTATCCTTAAAAAAAAAGTAAACAACAGAGCTATGCTAAGGTTCTTCCACCAGGGTCAAACACAGAAGAAAGAAGTAACTTACTCCTATGGGTTTCTGTTTATACATCAAATATTCATACAGTACCACAGTTGGTACTGTAGAAGCTAGAACTGAGAATATTTGTACTGTTCAAGCAGGCTAGTCTTACTGTTGCAACATGAAAGGTAATTTCCTTTAAGGCTTTTAATCTGGAGGGTGAATACCGTCCACTAAACATGGTTATGAACATTATTGCACAGCAGGTAGAAAATACAAAATACAAAGATTATACCTGCATTAATTAGGTTTTTCATGCTGCAGCAGTCATTTTTATTGAATCAGGCTTTTTGGTTTGGTTTGGTTTTTCTGGGGTAGAGTATCACAGTAACTTGGAAATGTGATTTATACATAATCATGAGATACAGTCCCTGAAACTTATGGCATTACACCATTAAGCTTTGTAGCGCTACTAACTGGTACTGAACTCCTTGTTCAGTTAGGTGTTATTACAGTAATTTCATGGCACACAACATAAAGGTTTATAATCAGCCTATATTATTTACAAAACAACAGAGAAAAGAAGATGGCAATGTACAGTGAAGAAAGCAACTGCCTGACATAAAAGGGCATCAGGAAGACAGAAATGACATCATAGGGACAAGAAGCAGAGAATTTACTGTTGCAGCGGAGCTCCCATTCACTGTGCCCCAACTCTGTCCTCCTTCCCATTTACAGAGCTCCACGCTGACCTCAGTCCCCTCAAAAGACACAGCCTCAACAATAGAGTCACCTTGGCAGATGTTCTGCTGAATTCATTTTGCATCAGGAATACAGTCTAGCCATCAGAGAAAGAACAAGAAAGCAGTTAAGATTCTCTAGGGAATGCTGATTTTGTATATTAGGAGCTTCCAATGTAACCATATCTTACAATGCTCTAATATTAGAATACTTATTTTCAGACTCCAGTACTCTAATACATTGCTCCTTTCCCTAAAAACAAGGAACTTTTTGTTTTGTCTGGTTCTTATTCTATCATGTCTGACTGACTATTTAATTAAGCAGTTAAAAAGTATTGCTTTCCAAAAAAGTTATCTAAGAACATGTTGCTGAAAGCATACAGACTAACTTCAGAGTTGGTATGAGAACCAGATAGTTTATGCTGAGAATATCACTCTATCTTCTGCTTTGCAAAGTTTTAAAAGCATACAGAAAGATCTATTACCCTTTAGTGAACATGAACAAATATCTACATGTGATCTTCCACTTCTGTTGTTGTTCTAAAATAGGCAGAAGGTGTCCTTGGGAAGAAATCCAAGATTTTTTAGAGTAAATATGTTTATTGTGCGCAAAAACATCCTCAGTGTTACCCAGTAAAATCTGAATATTTACAACATTGCCATATATATTGTATTTCTCTGGGTCATATCTGTACACGCTTTCCTAAAATAATTTTATTTCAGATATGCTGGAAATAAACATTATGCTCAGCTTTAGATTGCTCTTTCCTCAGCATTTTTTCAAATGGATGTTTAATTCCTAACATGAATGTAACCATTTGGTACTCAGCCTGAAACTTGCCCTGCAAAACATATGAGAAGATGCTTGCTAACCAGCTTTGAAGAACTATTAGTTGTTTGATTCTATTTTATCCCAAGTTTCTCAGTGCCTATCTATCATACCACTTCATGGGCTCTACCATTTAGTCTTCCATTTTCCTGTTAAGGCAAATACAATTATTTTTCTGAGCGCAGACATACTAGATATTCAGTACTGAAACCCCAAATATATCAAAAAATGTATCAAACAGGGCAAATTTCAGCAAAAGAAAAATTATTTTGCCTAGTGTCTCAGTTTCAGTAGAGTGGCAAGCATCTGGAGAACAGATGTTTCTTAAACACACAAGTGCCTTTTGAGATACTTGCTTGGAAACATGCAGTACAGTTTAGATTCCCTGACTAGTTGGATTTTAGTACTGTTTGCTAATAACTGTTCCTGGTATTGTCAACTACTATTTTTTGTAAAGTATATTAGTGGTATTACCACCGTAGGTTTAGAAATAATTTCTAATATGTGCATGGTTTTAGTGGTTCCAGCTATAATGTGGTGTTACCTGTGGTAATCTAATTTAAAAAGTGCAATCTACTATGATTTATGTAGAAGGTTTATACGTAAGATTGGAATGGTCTGATATCCAAAAATAGGTTAGTACAGTAATACTATCTTACGCTATTTTCAAAAAGAAGTTAGAAACATTAAAGGGAAAATTAAATTGAATTCCAAAGGTACTTGAGGGAAAATAAAGTTTAGTAACTACTGGTTTACAGATATGCTGCAATAAAATTTTGCTTGCAAGAGCAATGTGGCCTGCTACCTTTTACTGTAGAAAACTAGCAGATAGACCAAGATTGGTATGAACAGAGAAAGACTGTGAAGATCTGAATGTGGAGATGACAGCAGGAACATACAGCAGTTAAAGGGCTCTCATAAAAGCCTGTGTTAACAACATCCAGACTAGCAGATCAGCAAGACCCCAACACATCTAGACCAGTTTCACAGGACAGCAACACTGTTTCTGGGGACAAAACAGTGATAGCATCTGCTGACTCACAGAGACGGGAAAGGACAGAAAAGAAGGAACAAAAGGTTACAAAAAGACATCATCAGTACCTGTCATGTTTACCAACCTCAGAAGAACACAGAAGATGTTAGAAGGACTTCATAGTTGGTGTTCCTGGACCTCTGCACCATTGCATCATGCCTAACTTCTGGTCACAAACACCGTAGTGCCTGGCTGCCAGATGAATGGCTTGAAAACCCCTTAAGCCCCTTGCCCTGGTGCCTGGCTGCTGGGCGGACTTCTCAGACACACACCTTTCGGTGAGGGAGAGTGTCAGACTGTGAGAGTGCGAGTGAAAACTGCCTTATTTCAGTTTCTGTTTTAAATGAAACCACATTCCTCTTCTGTTAGGTCTTGCATTGATACAGAGTTGCAACAGTATTTCCTACACTACTAGGTCTGCAGATCAGTTTGGAAAGAGCTAACTTTTGACTTCGAAGTCCCTATCAAGGAGCTTTAAAGTAGCATGCAAATTTTTACCTAAGAGAACTTCACACTGTTCAATGGGAACAAAAATGTTGCGTTTCCTCAGTTTTGTGCATTCTATGAAAGAGACTTAAAAGTACAGCTGGCTAAAAAGGATGCAAAAGAAGAAACATGTGCCCCTGAACTTTCATCTTCTCATGCCATTTGTTCCTAACCATAAACTTTCTTATGGTTCTTCAAGTCAAAATTAACTAGAAGAGGAATAAAATAAACACACATTGGACACACATTTTCTGCACTTCTTTTTACTATGAGAACTTCATATTAATCAGTGTCACGTTAATTCAATTCCAAATTTGGACTACAAGTCATCTTAAACTCATGACAGAAAGTTCATTTTGGTCTGATATTTCAGACTTTATACCTAGATTACAAAATTTATGTCTAATGTCTGTGTTATTTATAACTAACAATATTAAAATGGTATAATTTATATATACTACATAGTTATCATATTAAGAAAACATCCTTCAAATACTGATCATTTACAGACAGACATCAGACAGATACTGGAATGGATCCAATATTTTTGTGACTTCTGAGAGTATCTGTATTGTTGCATAAATTCTTCTGACTATCTAAACCAAGGTTCAAATTTATAACCTTTTGATTACACACACATGAAACAGCAGATTTAGGATTACAGTCCACACATACACACACATACACACACACAAAAAAACAAATCACAAGAAGCATATACAACTATTTGTATTAGACTGGACTGAAAAATACAGATGTAACATGGTGGTAGGCTATTAATTTCCATTTTCCAAATGAGTTAGAATCTTAGCAAATTTTAATTTCACTCATTATGAGCCATTTGGTCCAAGAAAAACAACGTTTTTGAACTTTCCATCAGATGTCACCAAAAGGGCGCTCTGCCTTCATTGTTTGTTATCCAATATTCAAGTGACCTTTTGAGTTATGATCATGAAATTCAATGCACTCATTTTTCCTGATTACATTGGAAAATCATGTAAAATTTGGCATTTTGGTTGCAAGGTCAGTCAAAAAGCAGCCTAACAATTTACAAAACCTGACTCTTGCTTCCCAGAGGCCCTCCAGCTGGCACAACTGAAAATACTGGAGATTCCCTACTCCCTTTGCAGTGCCAGAGAACATTGCATTCAATCCCTCCACAAAGAGAAACAATTAAAGTGCCAGGAGCATGCAGAGGATGTGCAGCTGTATCTGTATGTCCCCACATACAATTTTTCTCCTGAAGTAACCTGATCTGAGAACTGTCAGTGACAAAGAATTCCTGGTTGAATCTGAACTTGAATAAGGCATGAATTCTGCTGATAGCTGGAAGAAAAGTCTATGATTCCAGAGTACCCCAGGATCTTGCTAAGTTTTCCCACAGTTACACTGGCAGATAAAACATTTTACTTTCTCTGGCTGCACAGTAGTCTCCATTCCTTCCTGGCAGTTAATAGTCCCTGGCCTCAATTATACACATCTTTATCTTCTTCCACTTGGAAGAGAGCCATACGGTACACCTGGGCACAAAGCTGTGAGCTTTCTGCAGACTCCAGCTAGTACAGAAAACTAGTCCATAGCACCTCAGAAACAGAGGCAGCACCAAGAAAAAAGTCAAGCTGAGCAGTTTCAAAACAGGTAATCCCACTAAAGGTACAAACAAAACAACTCTGAACTCAAGATGCAGGCCTTGCAGTATTTCTGGGTGGGAAGTAGGCTTGGTTTGTTGTTTCTGTTTTGTTTTTACTTCAAGGTATATATAGGGCTAACCAGGGATGGGTAGATGGGTTCAGCTCTACCTGCTCTGTCAATTTCTCATTTCAAACCCTAACCCCAAAAATACTCCTACTGATACTTGTTTAGAAACTAACTTCTGTAATTCACAGTCTAGGATGCTAAGACACAGAAAACCAAGCATTTAGCATAATGTATTATGCGGAAAATAGGAAAAAAAAAATCAGCGTTTGCTACATAAGTAGCTACATTTATCACGCAAGCTGGGTGGGAACCCTGAGAAGGGGACAAAGGTTGTAACACACATGATACAGTATTGTCTGACTGCTATAAAAACAGAAAAAAGATTATCAAAAGAAACAAAACACTAATTCTCAAATGAATGGCATGTAGGAAGTAGAATTGCTAGTTTTTTCTACTAGCTAGTCCTCTCCTATTCTGCTTTGGCAATATTAAACTTCTTCTTATGCAAATCAAAATTATATACAAAACGTACTAAAATAAATATAACTTTCAAAACCACACACAATAGATCCAGCTCCATCAGTGAATACATTACATGAAGCACAAAAGAGGGAAAAACAGGAATTTAAACTAACCTTACTACACAATATTTGCAAAAATAAGGGTTGGTTATAGAAGTTCAAAATTCTGCAGAAACTAGGTATTTAAGGACTTTGTAATCCATTTTAGTATAATAAAAGAACCTTACAATAAAAGAAAAGCTTTGAAAGATGGAGGACTAACTGTATATGTCTTGACTGAAGATATTGCAAAGTGGCAACACCAGTTTCTTTTGATAGTTTTTTTTCAGTGAAAAAACCCCACATCATTACCAGTGAATGCCTATTTCATTTATTCTTTTACATTCTATTCTACTTACTCTGCTGAGCCAAATGCCCCAGTAATAAACACATATCTTATATCCCCAGTGTACCCAGTACCTAGCAGTTGTGGTAACACTTTCATTATTATTTTCAGAGGAAAAATGTAGGGGATTTTTTTTAATGCTCGGGAAACATTCTATTGTATGAACCAATGGGGTTCGGGATATTGTGACAGTTAATCCAGGCAGCATGAGAGGTGCACAGAGTCACAGTGACCAGTAAAAGTCATTAACTTGTTCTAGGAATCAATCCTATCAGAGCTACACTGCCTTTTATATCCAGCCATCCAAGCATGTCTGTGCTGTGCTCCTGAGCCCCCCAGTTTACTTGAATCAGGGCCAACATCAAAACCTCTCAGGAGCCACATCAGGTCTACTTCTGTACTCCACAGGCTTTTTGAGACATTGGACAGCATGATGCCAACCTATTGAAATGGTTATTACACTTTGAGCCAGCCTGACAGGCGCTGGACTGAGCTAACAAACCATCAAAGTGGAATGCACGCTCAGTGAGTTTAATGTCTGCATAGATTTCCCAAATGTTCAATTCCAGACGCATACAGCAGCGACATGAAACTGGGCTCAGTAGAGAGCAGGGTTGGGTCCATAAAATTTACTAACTTGTACTCCGTGTTGTGCAAAACCAGTTAACGTACTCCTGGATCACAGAGTGTTCTGGAAAAAGCATACCATGTTTATGCATTGTTGTGTCCATACTAACAGATTCAACCTGTCAAGTTAAAGCTGTCTGGAGGCTTTACATCTGTGATCAGGACTAATTTGCAACCTGGATAGTTCTCTTATGGATAGCAACATTAACTTCATTTACTTCTTCCCTTTAGGGAACACGTAATATTCCCCTCTGCCACCAGATCCAGCTCTGCTCTCTCAGCTGATTAAACTCTTCTCATACCAGAATGCTGATTCAGTGATTTGACACGCAAGTTACCTGATAGTTTTCCAAACATCAAAGCCATCCAAAGGCTTAGTGCCATTGGTATGTCCTCCAGCAAGGTGCACCAGTGTTGGAAGCCAGTCAGAGATATGGATAAGTTCATGACTTTCTACACCTTTTCTTTTCAGCAACGGACTTGCAACAAAGCCTACTCCTCTGACTCCTCCTTCCCAGAGGGTCCATTTTCTTCCTCTCAGCGGCCAGTTATTTCCACCTGCCAAAGTCTGTCCTCCATTATCTGGAAAACAAGTATTTAAAATGAACTACTGGTAAGAAAGGAACAGAAAAATCCTCTCCACAACATTTATTCATCCCTTAGAAAAAAAAGTATTTTCAGAATATAGGCACATCACGGCAGTACCTGCATAGTGCTGTTAAACGTTCATACAACATGTTGTATGCTCAGAGCATGTAACAAACATATATTAAAATCTTGCCAGTCTTACAAATTGCTATTATGAAAAGTTATTGCTAGAAATGATGCTGTACTGCAAGCCAATGATTTAGAAAGACTTTGTTAAGAGCAATCTCTGATGTTTATTCTAAGTATCATTAGACATCCAAAGCTTCCAGAATAAAAGACTTTAAAAAAATATTTCCAACCACTTTACAGACCACAAGAAGACTCTCTATCAGTGCCATCATTAGAATACACTGTTTTCCAGAGTACTTACTTAAAATGGAAAACTGCTATTCCAGTGTCAGGACAACACCTGTCCTCCTAGTTTAGAGCCACTGTTTTCCTAGATTTTTAGGCAGCCACATTGATTTGTAATGTTACACAGTATTACACAAAACAGACAGTTTCTCAGGCAGAAGGAGAAAGCTCAAACAAACTGAGTTGAAACTAGTTAAAATAGCTAAAGGGATCTGGAAATAAACTGACTTTATTGTATTTGGTGAGAAACACACGTAAGATAGTTACAGGAAAGTTGAACTATAGTAACTCAGAAATACCTACATTAATTAGAGACACCTCATGTAACTCTTTTTTAGTTCTAAGCTTCCACACTAGGAATAAAATCCAGATTCCTGAATGTAACAGAATTAATCATTCTCTGAAGTTAACTTTTAGTACTGCTGTTCTTGTTCAAACCTGTTGTAATAATCTCAGAAGAGTCGTTGATGGCAATTCTTTTAAGCATAATTTTTCTGTATTTTAATGAGGCTAAAATTGTTTTAAATAGTACTTGTTGAACTGACATTCAGTGTAATTTGACATATTTATGTTACATTTTCTGATTAAAACCCAGGAATTTGAGGGAAGAAACAAGTAGTACGTGTCTCACACCTTACAGAAGCACTTGACTGTAATCACAACACAACAAAGTTATCTCCCTTCTGCTTCATTAATTACAGATCAATGTAACCACCACTATAAATATTTTTCTACTGCACATAGAAGACCTTTTTTGTTCTTTCAAGGAATAAACTAGTCCCTATGAAGACTTTGAAAAGCGGAAGGTTAAGCTAAATGAAATACTTAGAAAAAACAGCACAATTTGAAAACTATGGCCCAGCTAGCTTCCAGTTGGGCTTATTGTGTGTCCAGCACTCTTGGGCCAAAAATAAACAAATTAAAAGCTTTATTGTCTTCACTATGAAATGCAGGGAACTAAATACTAGCTAACAGTATTTCTCACACAACAATGTTGAGCACTGTGATGTGAGAATACAGGCAGTTGGCAGTTACAAAAGGAAAAAATAAAAAATCTGCTTCAACAGTTCTTTCTACTCTTAATGTACGCAGGAATTCCTGTTGGGGATACTCATGGGACAGAGCTTTCAGTAGCTTTTAACCTTAGCTGGTCTTAGAATAAAAGGTATCTTATCTACTCTATGTTAGAGCACAGTTTGGACTTAAAGTAGGATCAAATCTTAATTATGTTAAATATCTTCTTTGTATCATAGGCTACTTACTGTCTGTATCAGTTGAATACTAGCACATGAGATTCTTTCTAGTCCTGAATATCTGCAACAAAGTAGCAAGGGAATTACAGAAGTAGACTGTCTTTTTGAAGGATTGAGTGAGATGTGCGCATTTCCTGGGTTACAGTCAGATCCTCCTCTGCCTCAGGAATTTCTTCAGCCTCAGCCTGCTGAAGATTCAAAAGTTCTCACAACATGTTTTGTGAAAGGCACAAACAACAGGTCCCAACACTCTTTCCTAAATACGCACTACCAGACACTGTTGTAGTGTGGGGGTGCTTGCCCCGATGGATTCTTCATTTGTGGAAGTATAGCCATTCTCATGTTGTCCCAAATAAACTCCTCAAGCTATTCTAGCAAAGTATCTCAAAAATGGAACAAACTCCAAAGATCATACGGAAACTCCCAGTAGTTTAAAATACACAATATTCACTTAGGTAAAAGGGTCATTGTTGCTTCATGTTCTGCACTGGCTTCATATTCTATTCTAAATCCACTTCAAAACAATACTTTCTGAAGGCTTTATCATCCATTTTGCAACTGTTTCTCTCCATGACTCATCCTAATACCTAGTATCGGCAGACAGTCTCCAGAGCAAAACTTTGACAATCAAGGTACCTACGACTAGAGGCTCTGGTTTAAAACACTGCTTATTATTAAAGCTTCAGCCTTGCGACTTTAGCTGGAAACACAAACCTCCCCCAAGCATGATACTTCAATTATCTCTTTCCTGAAGACAAACATCAAATATGACTTTCATTAAAAATAATAGCAAAATGTCTAGAAAACGTAGTGAGCATATTTTTCCTATCTGTAAGAATCTTTTTTGTAATTACATCTATATAATTTAGACTTCAGTAGTACCCACAACATATTATGTGCATTAGAAAAAACATAAAGCAAACCAGCTCTTGTCCCTAAGGAAAGAATGAAAGGGGAGAGAATAAGGCTGTACTCAGAAATTATGATACTTGGCATAAGTGATACCTAGCTAATGCATTCAGTTTTGTTTGCTTTCTTAAATGGAAGCATCATGCATTTTTTGAAGAGCTCTGTTGTTTGCTTGGTTTGCGTTGCTTTGATAGGTGTTTAGCTCTGTTTATTTTCTCAGGTTTCTTATCACTGCCATCAATCAGTGTTATTTTAGGAAGGGGAATACTGAGACTCTTCCATTCTGATAGAATTTTCTTCTGTGGGCTGAAATTTGTGACAATGAAAGAGAACACTAGTGAGAGATACTTTCACTGATATAAGAGTGGCCTGAAACAGAGTTCATAGAAGGCATTACCACCATCGATGAAAAAATGCACAGAAGACATATGTAGGGTAACTGTTCAAATGACAGAGAAAAGGAGAGAAACAAAAGCTTCCTAGTTACTTTAATAGGTAGTTTCAATCAAAGTTCTGCACCCTTGAAGTAACATCAGCCATGCTGACTATGGAGAAAACCGTATAATGTAGTAATTGTATCATAAACACAAATGATATGCTGCACTGATTTATCAGTCCTATTATGGAAGAGAAATTAAAAATCAAAAGAGAAAAAGGAAGCACACTGACTATTGTAAGCACTGCAGAGAGTACTTGCAACAGTTAGATCTGAGTGAACCACAGTCACAGACAGAAACGTTTCTTAAGGGCAATAAATACTATAAAATAAACACCACATTTTCAATATAATTGTATCTGTGGGACATGCATCCTGATAAAATAGACTGATACAAAGATCTCAAAATGAAATAACTTTTGTCTTCAAAATAGTCATGCACATTACTCTAACCCCTTGAATGCTTTTTAAAGTACTGGCAATGATGATTTCCAGTAAATACAATGCATTGTTATAGCAAAAAAAAAAAAAAATTTTGAAGTGAGAACTTGTCTTCTGTTTTGATAAAGATATCTGCAGAAAAATCAAATCTTTTTCTTCCAACTCTAGCAACTACCCAAATATGCCATCAGGAAAAAAAGGCATATTTTATAGGACTATTTCTATCTTCTTTCACCCTCATACACCTATTTACATCTAATCACTTTCTCAATCATCTTAAAATCCATACAATGCTGTTCACATTAAGATACTTTAATGGAGTGAGTTGAAACAGCAAAAATCCACAGTAACTTCCTCTCAGAAGATTCTGGATGAAAATAGGAGACATTTTCCACACAGAAAATCAGACAGTATAATGTATTTTCAAAAAGAATGTGACTGTCTTTCAAATTACTATGGATTTTTTGTTAAAGGCAATGAAGAGGAACGGTGTTTTTTAAAAATGTATTTAATTTAATAAAAACCTTTCAACATAAGCAAAATAAAAACAAAATAAAGCTTGTCCATCTCAAAGATACTTTTAAAAATGAAGACCTATGCTTTCTTCTCACAAACATCTGCTTTTGTACTTAATATTGATTGTCATATACATTAGAAAGAGTTTAATTTGTTAAACCTGAAAACTGTAAATTTGTAAACTGTAAAAGATGTTTTGCAGGAGTTCTTAAAGGAATCAATAAACAAAACTATACAGAGAGGCCCTTCTGTTTCTCCCAAACACTTCTCTGAAGAGTTGCCAGCTGCCAAACATTTTGACTAGGGCAGTATATATATGCAGTAATGTGGGATGTATGTAACTAGTAAACAGTTTAATGACTGAAAGCCTCTTTGAAGAGCAGTCAGACAATAAAAAAAGAGCAATAAAATGATTCTGAGAGCAATAGCTAATGAAGCATGTATGGATCCAAGTCTTCAGATGGACTGACTGGAGCTGAGGCAACAGTCTGCTTCATACTATAAAGATAACAGGCATCAGCAATAGCTACAACTATGCAAAAAGTTTCATTTAGGAATTATACCTCATTAGACAACAGAAAACCAAAAAGAGTAAAAGTTTGGACTTAAGAATGAACCCTAACAAATGTTCTCGGCTTATTTTTTTCAAAAGCAACAGTGTGCCTTGCTGTATAGCTAAGTATTTTCTTCTAACAGACTAGACCTTATTTCGATTATACTATAGAAAAGTAAGGGGGTTTGTTTTGGTTTGTTTTGGATTTTCTGTGCTTTGTTTTTTCTTTGTTTTGTTGTTTGTTTTTTTTTTAAACAGGCATCCTTCTTTTGTCTCCCTTGTGACCACTCAGGTTGCTGCATTCTTCTTATGACCACAACTGAGCTATACCCTGCTGTCCTGCTGACATGTCTGGCAAATTGTTCTAGACAGGCTCCTCGGAGAGAGCTTCCTGGAATTTCTCCACAGATTCATCCAGGGCTGTATTTGGTGCTGTTAGTAAATAGTTTTAACTGCAGCATTTCTTTTCAGT